AGAACAATCCTTCATCATCCACAGACAGTATAGTAGAATTCATGGAAGTATCTGAAAGAGACTTCAGAATATTCATAGTGACAAAACTAAACAAGATGCCAGAGCTGAGAGATACTCCAGAAGATGCAGGATAAATGAGACAATGAGTTCCAAGAGGTATTGAAGTTCTTTCATGATCTGAAAGAGGAAATACACACCATAAAAAATAATCAAATGGAGCTATTATAGATGAAGGCTATCATCAGGAAATCAAAACCTCCCTCGAAAGTATTAAAAACAGATTAGTCCATGCAGATAATTCAATCTCAGATGTTGAAGGCAAAACCTCTGATCTAAAAAAAAAAACAAAACCAAAAACAACAAAAAAAATTGAGAAAATAACCCCCCCAAATGAGAATACTATACGAGGAATACTAGACATCATTAAGTGCCCAAATATCTGGATAATCGGTATCCGGAAGGTGAAGAAACTAAGTGCATTGATGATCTATTCCATGACATCTTGGAAGAAAACATTCCAAATCTAGAACATTCAAATATCCAGACCCAAGAAATGCAAAGAACCCCTAATCGAATCAACCCAGAAAGATCTCTAAGGCACATCATAGCCAGACTGGTCAAATCTACAGAAAAAGACAAGATACTAAAATTGGCAAGAGAGAAATGTCTGGTTACTTATAAAGGTTATCCCATCAGGCTAGATTCAGACCTCTCATCAGAAACAATGTGAGCAAGGAAAGAATAAGAACATATATTCAAAGTGTTAAGTGAAAAACAGTTTCAACTAAGAATACTATACCTGACAAGATTATCCTTCATATGGGAAGAAGGATAAAAATATTCTCAGATAAATAAGACCTGAAAGAATTTGCCAGTAGCAGACCCACTCTTCAAGAAGTTCTGAAAGGAGTACTCGACCAGGAAAACTAAAGACACAAGCAGAAATAAGAGAACAAAAGGCAACCAAGAAAATGACCAATTTAATGCTAGGGACAAAAAATATCAATAACAATGTTGAATGTTAACTCCCAGGATTTAAACGGAAGGACTGGTCAACAGTAACTCTGCATATTCAACTGGAGAGAGTTTGAACATAAGACTGAACTAGCGAAATAGAATTTTATGACTTTTGAGTAAAATATTACTGATTTCTTTCTTTCTTTCTTTCTTTTTTTTGGAGAGGTTTTTTCGCTATAGGGCGCGTGAGCTCGCCAGACAGACAGAGAGAGACATAGAGACAGAAAGCGAGAAATCACCCCCCCCAGGGGGGATAGTCACACTGCAATCCCTTCTCCATTCTCCTCTCGGGATCTTGGGCACGCACGCACACGCACCTGGCGTGAGTTCTAAGCCACCGGGTCCGGGACGCGAACTGTGGTCGACTACATGGGAGTCCAGCAACATAGTCATTACACTAACTGCTGGTTCCCTTGATTTCTTTTTACTAAGCGTTGTTTTCCCAATTTTAACATTTTACTTTCTTTTGAATTGTTGATAGGTTGAGCAATTTGTTAAAATATTTTTCTTGTTTGTTTTTTAAAATGGAAATATAAACTTTTCTTCCTTCTGAAAAAAATTTAAAAAATTAAATTAAAACAAATAAATAAATTTAAAAAGCAAAAAAAATAGAAAAATTTGTTTTATTTTTAAAGGTCTGTGGTATATAGTTATGTTGTGGTTATATAGGTATGTTTGAATTTATCCTATGTATTGCATATGTATTATGTGCAAGATATTTTGTTAAGTTCTTTGAGTATAAAAAATATATTTAATATATGATCCTTTATCCGAAGGAATTTATGGTCTAATAGTGACACTGAGATGTATAAAGACATAATAATGTAATAAATGTATATATAGCAAAATGAAGTTTGACTTTGTGAGTGTTACAGTTTTATATAGTAAGCAGCTCCAAATGTAATTTTTGGTACAATTTTACATTTTCTTGCCTATTTTAGGTGTAAGTTATAAGGAGAGCCTTATAACACGCTAACATGTGTTTACAGCTAGTATGTGAGTGCAGGCACATTGTTATATCCATTGCCTCACAGAATGCAGTGTGTGATTTGAAATCAGGACACCTGAGTATTATTCTCTTTCTTTACCTTTCTGTGTGATTTTGGACTTTTCATCAAATGGTTCTAAACATTACAAATTGAGGATCCAAATACCTCTTCTGGGTAAAGGATTGTTTTCTAACTCAAAAGATCGATCAGAAAAAGTATTTTGAAAATGATAAAGCCATCCACAGTAACTCTAGGGAATTATTTTCTTTTTATTTAAGGTATTCTCTCTAATTCTTATGTGAGTATTTAAATATTATGAAGACTAGCTGTTTTATGATGATAAAATGTTATAGCTTGCTTTGCAAAGATTAAAAAAAACCTATAAGTGTTTTTAATTGCCCTTTATTCTCTATGGCATGTTCATTCTCATTCTTAATGGCTCCACATGGCTGAAAATTAATTTGCATCCCTACCTAATGTCATATTGTGGCTCTTTGATATACTTGCAAAAATTCTTTGGCAGAGCTTAAGATGTGTGAAGATTTTTTTAAGTGCAAATGAATAACTAATTACAAGTATGACCCAAATTTTATTATCTTTATATCCTGCCTCATTCCCAAAGGGTAATAGTATATAGATTTTATATAATAATCGAAATATTAGATTCAGTTGAAATAAAATTAATTTTTATAAATGAAAAGATTTACAAATTTTAGGTTAATGACAATTACTTTTTAGAAATGCTTTATTTAATGCATGGATTTAACTTATCATAAACTTCTGTGAAATGAAGACACTCCTCCCTTGTGTTTGGCTCCCTTTGTATTGCAATATGAATTTCTTGACCTGCTGGGAGATGAGAAGACAGAAAAGGATTTTAGCAGACTTCTTTGTGGAGCTTTATTTTAAAATTGTTAATTATGCTTGTGAGCTGTTTGAGTCTCTTATTAACAGTTATTTAATCCCTGGCCAGATGTAGTTTGCAAATGTTTTCTCTCATTCTGTAGGCTGTCTCATCATTTCATTGTTTCTTTTCCTGTGCAGAAGTTTTGTAGTTTGACTTGATGCCATTTGTCTATACTTGGTGTTGTTGCCTGTGCTTTTGAGGTTTTATTTTTAAAAAAACTTTGCCTAGACCAAAATGCTAGTTTCGTTTGTATTTTATCCTAATAATTTCATTATATATGGGTTAGTTTCATTCTTTTGCATATGAATATCCACTTTTATTTATTGAAGATACTGTCCTTTTTCCACTGAACATTTTTAGGACCTTTTTCAAAAGTCAGTTGACTGGAGCCAGTATTGGTGTGGTGGTTAAGGATATTGTGTCCCACATGGCCAACTGTGCTATTTGAGTCCTGGGACTGGTGGCTTGAAATCATGTGTGTGCTCATACTCATAATCCTGGGAGGAGAATGTAGGAGAAGAGACTGTAGCATGGCCATTTACCCTGAGGAGTACTTTCCTACTTATCCTCTCTTTCTAGTGAGGGCATGTACCCTATAGTAAAATTAAAAAATAATCAGTTGGCTGTGTGTTTATGGATTTATTTCTGAGTTCTCTATTTTATTCTCTGGTCTATGTGTGTTTTTGTTCCAGTACTATATAGTTTTGGTTACTATGGGTTTGTAATATATTTTGAAGTCAGTATCATGTCTCAATTTTTTTTTTTTTGCACAGAATTGCTTTGTATGTTTGGGGTCTTTAGTAATTGAAAACACATTTTATGATTACTTTTTCTATTTCTGCGAAGAATGTCATTGATATTTTGGTAGGGATTGCATTGAATTTGTAGATCATTTATAGTATACGTATAGTATACATGCTTTGTAAAACCACACTGCACTTCACATGTAATAGTGAACCCTAATAATAAAATTATTATATGTAAATGAGAAACAACAAAATTATTGCATATAAATGAGAGATCATAATAAAATTATTACATTAAAATTGTTATCTATTATGATTTTAGACACTAGAGAAAAAATAGTTTCTCTTCTTTAAGAAGCCAGAAAGGCTTAGTGGAAAACTGGATTACAAGATGCAGAAAGCAAATATCAACTGGGAGAGTAATAAATAGGTAAATTTGGAGCTGTCTGGGAGAGAAGGCTCCTTCTGGGCCTTGGTCTTGATGTGGAGAGATATAATGCAGAGGGCCAAGGGTATTGTTGAGGTTGTCAAACTAAAATAAATTAAAATCCTTTCTTCTTAGTAGGAGTCATTAACTTAGGAAAAGGAGTCATTAAATGGTATCAGTAGGATATTAAGAAAGAAATTCATGCCTTTAATTTGAGAGGGAAACTAGAAAGGTGAGACAAAAATGGTTAACTAAGCAGTTAGGAATTGTTCATGAGCAATTCCACAGGGTAAAAAACAAAGATATTAATCTGCTTTTAAGGGAAACGTTTTTACACATTTTCAGCAGTAACAGTTTTCTTCCCAAGTAAAATTTTACTATTTCCTGACCTGATTAAAGACACCATAATCTGCCCAGTGTCCTGGTTAGAATCTTTTTTTTTTCCCCAACTGATTTAGTCTCTTTATTCTTTTGGTCATCTCTTCCACAGTTAACTACGTCCACTGCAGGTGATGAAAAGGCTCCACTTCAAATGTTGGCACGGCTATAAACATGATCTTTCCCTTTACTGCAACTCAGAATTAAAACTTTTGATTCTTGTTTATTTTATATTCCAGTCCCAGAAGTAGTTTTCATTGCAGAAGTTATTTGAAGACAGTCTTATGCTTTCTAGTAGTGGTTTATAACCAGGCTCTAGCTTCTTCAGGAACACTACATGATGGGTTTAGTTTAAATGTATTAAACTAGCAGGCATTCTCTCAAATGAGTTTAAATGCATTTTATTTTTAGACAATCTACATGACATGTTTTTTTTTTTCTTAAAAACAATGCCTCCATTCCAAATAAATCACAGTCAAAATAAATGAAGAGCTCAAGATGACATCAGTCCCATTGTCTTCCATCCTGGTGTTTGGTGGATGACAAGCAGCAATCAGTTATGATGACAGGTGATAGATCCAAAGTAATTGCCAAATTTGTTAACATTTTTCCATTTCTAAACCATCCTTAAAGAAAATCATATATGGGGTCACACCACCCTCACAGTAGTCCAGTAGAGCAACCATGCCATCTGGATTCATGTTTTCACCAATAAAGAACTGGTAGTTTTTGAAATTAGCAAGAATATGTTTGATTTGTTCTGCAGCCCCTGTCATAAATGGTTTTACTCTTTCTACTCTCTGTTCTTCAAGTTTGCCTTTGATTGATTTCATGTAATCTTTGATGTACTTCTTGTAGGCTTCTTTTGTGAAGTTGATTTCCTGCACATGATGGTTCATGACACCAGTGACTACTGTGCTTTTGGTACCTTCGCCCTCAGGGCCTTCAGCGGAGGCATTTCCACCAATGAGCGAGTCATCAATGTTACCCTCTGTCCTACTGACCATCTTCCCCTCCTCCCCTAGGCACAGCCCGTCCGCCATCTCCTGGATCTTGTAAATGTTGGAGAACATCTCATCGTGGCTGATGAGGTCCCAGTAGATAATCATGGTGGCTGCTAGAGGGAGACCAAGGCGACGCTTGCTGAGTAGGAGCCCTTGCTGAGTAGGAGCCCGGAGCTCGGAGTGAGCGCGGTGCAGCCGGAGCGGCGCTCCGGGGGAGGGGGGAGCGGGCGGAAAAGTCCTGGTTAGAATCTTATGTTATGCACAGTTTTGTCTTCCTTGTTCCTTACATCCCTTACAACTTGCCATTTGTTCATCTATTCTATTTTCCTCAACTTTGGTCCTGTTGGTCTGACCTACTGCTTTTCTCCATACCTACCATTATTGCTTTTGTTCATGTTCTCAGGATTTAGGGACATATCTCCTAACCAGGCTTCCTGCTTCTATCCTGAGATCTGTTCAATACATCTTCCACCTGTTTGCAAGAATAGCTTCAAAAACCACAAAATTTATCATTGAATGTTGCTCAAACATTCAGTGGCTTCCTACTGCCCTCAGGATAAAATCAATCCATTAAAACTTGGTCTACGAAGTCTTCCTTGTCCTCGTTCTGATGAACTATACAAAGAACCACCCGCTCTGTATTTCTGTTACTTGAAATTAAACTTGAGAATTTCTCGTTTCTTACACCTGCCAGGCTACCTTATTTCTCTATGCCTTTGACTGCACTTCTCTCTCTTGGAATGTCCTTTCCCCAGTTATTTACTTTAAACATTTGAACATCTACTCATCTTTCAGGAGAGTGTGTGTTATAATGTTTGGGAGCTTTTATTTTGGAGACAGATGGTTCTGAGGTAAAGTTCTGAATTTCAAATTATTGCATTGCTTTGGTCAATTCACTTAATCTTCCTGAAACTCAATTTTCTTATCCATAAACTGGGGATAATAATATCTACTTCAAATTGTGGTTGTGAGGATTACATTACATGAGCTAATGGATTTAAAGTGCTTAACTCCATGATTGACACATTGTAATTACTCAATAAATAGCATCTGTGACTCAATTCAGCTTCATCTATCAAAATATTTTTTGAACCCTTTCCCCTCAATTGGAATAAATCACTGTATGTCAGTTATTAAGCTATTGTCTCTCTCAGCCGTGAACCCTTTATCCTTTTATACCCAGCTTGTGTTGCTGGGACTGAGACTTTGTAAACAATATTTCCACTGGATCAGCTGTCTCCATTTCAGACTATGCCAATTAGGGTGTCAGGAAGGCAACACAGTTGGTGCAGGAAGGGACTTGTACCTTTCTGAAGGATTCTTTCAGGCTTCTTAATTTTGTCAGTCATTCTTGCATCACTTTACCCTTGCAGTGACAGTTGATTCCAATAGCAGCAATTGAATCTAGTTTTCAGTTTCTCTAACACTGGGAGATTGGACCCTGTACAATTCCTTGAAAGGACACATAAAGCAGGCAGTTCTCCTTCTTCGAGGTCCCAGGAACACGAGGCTCCTCCTCTGACCTTCTAAATTTTCCCAACTCTATGAGTGGTATTGGTTCCCTACAATCGATATCTCTGTGATATCTTAGACTTTTCTTTGCCTTATCAGCTGTTCAGTAAATAGTTAACAATTGTCTATATTAAATTCTCTTTATTGAAAATAATTAGTGCTGTCTCTCTGACTTAACAAGAGCCTGACAGATACTGACACCTACTCCCTCTTTTGTTTCTTTACTGGGATTTGTTTTGTATTCCACGTGCCTTCACAATGAGTTGGTACCTAAGAGTTCATTGGGACACTGATGACATAGTGGTTAAAGTGGCTGGATCCTATGTGACTGACTGCACAGTTCGAGTCCTGGACCTGGTGGCTTGACGAACACACTGATGCATGTGTGCCTAAAATCACAAGGAAGAATGGAAAAGGGATTGTAGCATGGTCATGTCCCCCATCCCCCAAGGTGATTTCTTACTTTCTCTTCTCTCCCCCACCCCCTCTGGTGAGGACACATGCCCTATAGCAAAAACTAAAATGAATACATAAATAAAAGAGTTTGTAATATTTATTGATAGCTGTCTACTGAATATCTCTACCTGAATACCTCTAAGTCTCATACCATATTTCTCAGTCTGTACTCATTATCTTTGCTCATCACTACCCCCCCCAATTTCTCCTTTCTCTATATTTTTCCTTTCTCTATATTGGTCAGTGACATCAATATATGCTTTTGAATGAATTGAATGCACTGTACTCTAAATTTTATATTTGCAGCAACTGGACCACTAACAAATGAAAATTGCTAACATCAATATACTGTAATTGCTAGGACAATTTTTGTTTTAAAGATGTATTAATAAAATTCATCTTGTTATATAATTGGAATATTTAAAAGTTAATAACCAGAAGAAAGACGCTAGATTAGGAACTGGAAAACTCAGAACCTATTTTATTTCACACTACTTTTTACAGCTCCCCCCGCTTTCTCCATCAATAGTATCAAGCTACAACAATTGCTCTTACATATGTCAGATATTTACTATATATGTGAAGATATATATTAGCTAATATATACACACAGGTTATTAGGAATAAAATATTTGTAACCAAACATTACGCTAAGGTTACCAATAATTTAAAGACTACAGTCCCAATCTATTCACCACACATGGGTTCAAGGTATTTTCTATAAAAGAAGCTTAAGCTATGTTGAAAATTCTAGACTATATAACTTGACATAAAAAATTCATTGCGTTTTACCAAACGAATAATATTGACTAAAAGTTGGTAGAGTTTGAATTATACAGTTATTAAATAATTATATAACATAATATACTCTTTGAGAAGCTAAACCTGTCTTACATAACTATGTTTTCAAAAAAGAGTCTTTGGAATAAAAGAATGATGAGTCAACTCAATTTTACTGGTGTAGAATTTGGTGGAGGGTATGAAGAATTATTTTATTTCTAATATTGAATGGGTAAGAGAGCAGATAAAGTAATGAATTTTAAATTATTTCAGTGTTCATGCTGGATCAATGTTACTGCTGAAATTTTTCATGAGTAATTTTGGTTTTGAGAAAATTAGAATTGATTTATTTATAATGTAGAATTTAGATTGGAAACAGCTAGAAGCCACACTGAATAATAAACTAAATATAGATTTCTTGTCACAACATTTAAAAGACATCACTTCTGAAGAAAAAAATTGAATTGCGTTTAACCCAATTTCTTATCTGGGTGGGAGTAAATGATATCTATGGTGTAGCAAGAAAAACTTGATACCCATAAGTGCCTAGATAGAATCAAAGAATTCAGTAAAACTCCAATGAAATGTCAGACCAATCTACCTTTTAGATATACTTAGGAATTGAAATACCATCGAAAAGAATCCAATTCTGCGTGCAGTGAACCAGTTACTTGTATTGGGGAAACAAATAACTATATAAATATCTTCCCTGAGCGAGTGGGCTTTGAATTTTTATGATTTAGATAGCTTTCTTCTCAATTTAAAATATTATACAGTAATGTTATAAGGAAGCCCTATGAAAATAATAAAAATACATTTGCAGCAGACTCAAGTAGTTACTTGCAAATAATGAGATGTATGGTTTTCTCTATTGAGTTTTTTTTTTAATTTTAATTTTTTTTTTAATGTAGATGCAGTCTGAATGGTCACTCCTTGGCCTTTTGATCTGTTGATAAAGATGTAAGGGTTTCCAAGATTATGTATCTTTCCCCCACGTAACATATATAACTACAAGGAAATACCAGTTATCTGACTAACATTTGAGACTCACTCTTGTCTGGAAACTGTCCTAGGTTCTGGGATGGGGGTGGGATTTAGAAGACAGGAGATATAAAGGATAACCCTGATCAGATTGCACTTGCAAAGAAGTGTGAAAACACTGGAATTTCATAGCTGCTATGGTTTTCAGGCAGAAAGTGAAAGAATTAAGACAATTACACATTTGTTATTTTCCAACTTGTTCACATTCTGGCCATAGTTTTATTGATTTTTATAAAGCAGTCTACTAACATGTGCCTAGGAACTATAACATGTAGCAGTACCTGTGAACTTACTTATCACTTATAACATGCCAGTAGAGAAGAGATCACCAATTTCCCCCTTTTTGAGTAAGCCATAAGGAAATAGTAGATGCCATTTGTGGGATCTGGGACCTGATAGATGCTAAGCAGGTGTCACTATCTGAAGTACATGGCAATCTTAAGGTCACTCCAGGGTACCATGACTAGTTGGATCAGAAGGCATTCTATCCTACCTATTATTATTATTTTTTCTAATGCTTAAGGGTACAGGTGTTTGAGAAAGG